TCAAGTCTAATAAGTGGAGACATTGCTATATGGGGGCGGTGCTGCCGCCATCTGGTGGTGACAAGATGAACGGCAGTGGGTTCCAGGACCAACATCTGTCACTGAAGCACTCGCCCAGTCAGTCATCGGGTCCTTTTCCATGTTGTTGAACGATTCTTTTCACCTCTCTTTCATTGTTTCAGGCTCTCTTCTAAGGGCTTTACTAACGGTTGGACTATTTCTCTTAGCGTTGTTTTATATTCTCCCTTCATCAGTCCTCTGTCACCTGACAATATTTCTCTACAATGTTGTCAGTCTCCAAATGTTTGCATTGTTCTGGTGTTGGTGGACACAAAGTGCAGACAGTGGGAAAGGTAAGATTGAAGCCAAACAAAGCCAAAACCCCATGACGGTGGGGATGAGAGTAGAGACGATGGTGGACAGCATCAGCTCAGGTAAACGTCTCACATCTTCTGATGTTTAAAATGTGAATGATGTACATTTACTGATGCAAAAGCTGACAGTCTGTCATGAACAAGGAATGTCTCTGAGGGATTCCACCTGAATATGCCAAAGCTGTGCATCAGCCCGGCTCAGTCTGTAACACTCTCACACACACCAGGACTTTCAGCTCACAGCCTCGGATGACCCTCTGGTCCAGAGCTGAGGGAATTAATATAAGGTCCTGTCTGTGCCTATTCAGGTGAATGTAAAAATCTCACACTACTAATGAATAGAGAACTGTCTCTGTTACAAGAATCAAATCACTAAAGCCGGTCTGTCAGGGCTGACAGATTCTCCCATTCTGTCCTGAGGAGCAGTCGCTGCCCACACACTGTCTGTGCCCCACACTCCCGCCTGCAACTGTCCTGCTCCTCGAGCCCCTCACTCCTCTTTGTCTAATGTTTCTGTCTCTCAGCTCCGGCCTCTCCGACTCTGGATCCTGATACCAGGACTCCGGGTATTTGGAATTCAGTGCCAGGACGATAGGGATCGACACCAAAATAAGTTTTGAAAAGGTTTCCGTGGGCCTTCGCTGTGTGTCCTCCCGTGGGCTCCCCTCTCCTGTCACACTGAGCAGCCTCACCATCCTCACTGGCCGTCACAGGGGCCGGGGATACCCACTGTCACTCAGATTGTTTGAATCACTGATTCACTATCTCCTGTTCCTGGATTCAAACAATTACAATTTATTGGTGTTTTACAATAAAGCAGTAAATGCCGGGACCGACATTGGAATGACACTCAGCTGGAAATTCCGGCTCTCCAGACGGGATCTCCCCCATTGGTCCGGCCTCGAGCCGGGGGTTCAGTGTAATGAGCCACTGTAGCCGCCAGACAGCACAATCAGCACCAGCACCGCAACAGCTCGTCTGGATTAACATCATTCAGAGCATCAGAGGAACCTGACACCCAATGTGTGGGAGCAAAACGTGAGCCATCTGTGTAAAGCTCATCGCCAGCTCGTCTCTGTGCTCGTGTTGGGAGAATCTGACTTGCCATCCAGTGTGTGACTCACACGCTCTGAGACAGGGATATATATCGCTGATATCTTTCTCTCCAGCAATGCCCAGTCTCACAGTCGGGGCTGTGCTCAGAATCTCACTGAAATCTCCCAAATCACTTTTATATCTATAAACAGGTGCCGTGTTGTTCCCCAGTGAGCGGCCGCGTCTCACTGTGTATAAACACTGTGTGTTTTCAGTGACAGTTTTTATAATCTGTAACATTTCTCTCTCAATCACTGTAACAATCGCCCAAGAAGTGAGATCTTTAGCCTTTAAGCCGAGGTCACGTCTGTGTCTGTTCAAGTGGATATTAATATCCAAATATATTGTCATTCACTTGCAAAAAACTGTCACAATTTACAATAAACCATATTATTATTATTTTATGGCCAATCATTATACACAGTCTACACACACCCCTCACCCTCAGATACACACATCCCTCACAGTCAGCCCCTGACCCACACCCTGAGATGTCTTAACTCCCTCTCCCCCTTATGTACAGAGACCACACGGATAACACAGCGCTGAGACACCGAATGCCCACCTCCTCCTCTGACCCTCATTACTCTCTGCTCCAGTGGTTGTTTCTGATCCAGTTGTTGCTTCCCTCTCCAGCCTCACCGGCTGCTCCATGTTTGGGGTTTGCTGAGACATCTCAAAATGCTTCAGAGAACATACTGTAATGTGTAGTGACTGTGTGTTCTGTGGGCGAAACGCTGCAGTGAAGTGTGCACAGCAGTGACCCACAAACAGTCGTGAATTGAGTGACCAAATTAATTTTGGGGAGAGATTATTACCCCCAGAAAGCGATCCAACATCCAATTATCAACCAGGTTCCTACTTACCGCTTGGCAAAGAGAGGTGTGTGGTGTAAGGAAACTTGTCTAAGGTTTCGCCCCACCCAGGAATCTCTCACTTGTGAGGCGAGTGCTCTCACCACTGAGCTATAGGACTCTACTGTTTTCAAGAGGAAGCCGGACCTCCTAAACCTATCCTCACCCCCTCCCCTTTATGGGGGGCGCAGGCAGGTCAACAACACACAGGATGGGCACACATGTTTGTGACGCTCCCTTTAAGCTCAGTCAGGAGACCTTCCCATGAGGGAGAGGAGGATTGAATGGAATGGGAGGCAGTAAGGAATGGGTGGGGACTGATGTGGAATATAAACACCGGCACAGACTGGTTTGGCGGTTTCTTTGCTGTATATTCTTTGTAAATTGAAGTGTAACTCGATGCTCAGCCCCTGAGGTGCCCGACTGAGACATTTCCCAAACCACTGACGGCGGAAACATTCACAAACTGCGTGAATTACACACAGACCCGGGAATGGCAATCTGTGTTTCCACCTTTTGGGAATATGGTGAATCTGCCCCACGTTGATGCTGTGTTTGCAGAGACTGTCATTAATTCTGCCGCTCAGTCTATTCAGTCTGTCACAGCCCGTCAGCAAGTCTCCACTATTCACAGACTCAGACAAAACCAGACTGAGACACACTGTCACCCACACTACATTTATTATATCAAGACTCGACTTCACCTCCACACGATGCAGATCAACCAGAACCGCACCTACTCCCAATCCTACCAGCCCCGCACTCACTTGATTCCAATGGCTTCCCATCCCCCAGAGGATAGAGTTCAAAATCCTCATCGTCTCCATCAAGGCCCCCCACGGCCTTGTCCCTTCCTCCTTCTATGACCGACTGAGCCATTGCCAACCAAACTGGGCAGAGAGGAAGCACAAAGGCTGTGACAGGACAGCGGAGCCGTCACCGCCGCTCACACAGACTGACACACACAGCGGGAACGGGAGGCAGTGGCTCCGGACACGACTCTGGGCCTGAGAGCCGCGGTCTGACCACCTGCCACAGGCGGGAAGTGTGTGAAGGGACACAGTGGCCGCCACACACAGCGAGTCCTGGGGGTCACTGGTTTACCGCACACACCACACAAGTGCGGGAAGGGCGGACAGTGCTCGAGGAGCGAGTCCCGGCAGCTGCTGTGAACAGTGAACATATAGAGAGATGGTGTGGACATGTTTACGCCACAGAATTCGATAGAATTCAATCCAATATCAGGCAGAGCGAAACCTTGGGCAAATTTCCTTACAGAGCCTAATAATAATCCCTCCAAAACAAAACAATAATACATTGGTCATTTTCAATCCATGACTGTTTGTGTGACATTGCTGTGTGCAATTGGCTGCCGCATTTCAGCCACAAATATACAGTCAATTCACTTTACAGTCTATTCTGTGAAGCACTTTGAAACATGTGATGTGAAAAGCGCGATATCAAATGCAATGATTATTATATTATTATTATATATTTCTTTGTAGATAGAATACATATTTACACTTTCCTCAAAAAGAAACAAATGCCATAAGAGAATGAAGAAACACAACACGTTATTTTACCATTACGGGACGTGACAGCCCCGACCCCTTGTGGTGGGGGGTTGGGGGGGAGGGGCTGCCATTGCGCACTCCACTTTGGTGGAGGGACCAAGGCTTCCCCTCCCCCCCCCCCCCCCGGGGATCTGCTGCCCGTTGCGGGATGTGCTCACATTTCTTGGGGGGAACGCTCCCATTAAGCACAGTCGGGAAACGCCCCGTGTGCACCACAGACATGTGTGACCTGCACACACCCTGATAAGGGCTCTTCCATTTACAGATGTCAACCCAATGTGCACCGTAAACACATATAATTACACTAACAAAACACCCCGAGACATCGAACACAAACCATACACTGCAATCAACACACAACCAGTCAACCCCCTGTCACTGTGTGAGGTTAGTGACTGAGCTCAGTCACTGTGTGAGGTTAGTGACAGAGCTCAGTCACTGTGTGAGGTTAGAAACTGAGCGCCGTCACTGTGTGAGGTTAGTGACTGAGCTCAGTCACTGTGTGAGGTTAGAAACTGAGCGCCGTCACTGTGTGAGATTCGTGACTGAACTCAGTCACTGTGTGAGGGTAATAATTGAGCTCAGTCACTGTGAGATTAGTAACTGAGCTCAGTCACTGTGTGAGGTTAGTAACTGAGCTCAGTCACTGTGTGAGGTTAGCAACAGAGCTCAGTCACTGTGTGAGGTTAGTAACTGAGCTCAGTCACAGGATTAGCCTCTGGGCATCGCCATCCCTGGACACAGGTTTAATGTACTGTTAGTAGTGAAGATTCTTCTCATTCGATGCAAACTCTAAACAGGTCAGTGTCGGAAATTGTTTCCTGAAATGAACGATTATTTTACCATTAAAATAATGCCTTAACTTTACTGCGATTCCAGTTACAGAATTCACTGGTTTCACTTTCACATGTGGTGATGTGGAGTTTACATATGAAATAAATGTTCTCTATTGTCAGGTTTGTGTCAGCAGTAAAGCGGAAGCTCTGCAGTCAGTTTATTCCCAGTTTGTGGTTTAAACGCTGAGAATTGGAGGCAAGTGAGGAGGGAAGGGAATGGGAGCTCCTCTCTGACCTGCACCATGTTGGGGTGAATAAGGAGCGGCTGTGAGGAGGCGGAGGGCAGGAGCACATTACAGCAGTTACACATAACATGTTTCTTCCCCAGTCTGATTGCTGTCAGGTCACTGGTGTTTACAGTGTTTCCTGTGAAGCGCTTTGAGACGTCCCTGGATGTAGAAGGTGCTGTGTCAGATGTCAGGATTATTATTCTCCGAGGTCACCTTGACAAGCGCTGAGGGTTGAAGCTCAGACAAACAGACGGAGACTCTGTGTGAGTTTGGAGCCTGAACCTGCAAAAGGTTCTACTGTTAAAAGCAAATCAGTGTCAGAAATTGTTCCCCGATGTGAAAAGTTTATTGTTATTAAAAATAATCATTTTATTTTTAGTGTTATCCCACTGACTTGGTTCAGCCGAAACAACAACAACAACTTATATATCGCCCTCCACTCAGGGCAGCGTCTCAGAGCACTTGACAGTGGTGATGCCTGACTCCGAGCCTGAGTCAGAGGGTTGTGGGTTCAAGCCCCACATTAGGACTTTGAGCTCACAGTGTAGGCTGACACTCCACTGCGGTGATCGGGGAGCACAGCATTGTCGGAGGTGATGTCCTTTGGATGTGAGGTTAAGCTGAGGTGCTCTCTGCCTGTCAGGTGGATGTTAAAGATGCAAATTGCTGTTGTTGTTCCACCTGTTTCAGGCAATTACTTTATTCCCAAAGTTTGGAGGAACACTTTGTTCAAATGCTGATCTTGATTGTGACACAGATCTGGTCTTATTGTGTGTTATTAATGTAATATGAATTATCTGTTGATTTCCTCGTGTTTCAGTGCTCGATGTCCTGACAAATGATGGAGAAGATTTTCATTCTGATTTTCCTGTTTGAGATTCCGGCTTCACTTTCTGGTGAGCAACACTGTCATTTTATTCCAAATCGTCACTGTCACATCAACATTGCTATTTATTACAGAGGCAACTAAAATATTAGATCACTTGTCAAAGTAGAGAATAGTTTTGTTTCTGATAAAGAATCCACTCACTGTAACTGGAAGCTGGAGCTTGTTATCACTGCAGCTAAACCTGCCCCAGGAAAGTGCTGTATCTGTCAGCTTCCCTCAGTCTATCAGCCCATAACTGTGGCTGAAAGATCCTCACCAAACCTGGTCTATTCCCAGCTTCTCCTGATCACCTCCCGTTGTTCAGTGGTGAACAACTGTATCTCATTTCTGAGAGAAATGACAATTCCTGACTGTGTTAATGAGCTGAACGAGAGGACATTCTGGCTGTTTACACTGGAGCCGTATTTCAAACTATATTTGCAAAGGTTGTGAGCTGTCCGTGTTCACAGCACTGAACTCCGAGAGTAAATGTATCAGGTGAAGCTGAGATGGGAAGATGGGAGGTGAGTATTCTGGGAAGATGAGGTCAAATGGGCTGAAGGACTTCCTTCATCTGAACCTCTCTTGTGATCGGGTGAAATGTGTCCATTGATGATATTATAAACTGGTGATTTATATTCATCTTTTAAATGGTAACATTGCTGCACATTTCCAAATAAAGTATATTTCTGTAATAAGACAGTTTCTGTGCAGACTCAGGTCAGTTCATATCTCAGACTTTCAGGGCTTCAGGAAACCAGACACTGTCAAACTGTCAGTGACAGTGACACAAATAAACTATTGCAACTCATTGTTTCACATTTAAATAGAAACAAATCATAATAATAGTTTAATAATTGATATTGTGTTGTTCAATAGATTCTTTTATAGTTAATGGTCCTCGTCAGCCTGTCCTCACAGCTCTGGGGAACGATGTCACTCTGGGATGTTGGTTAACACCAGGAGTGGCTGCAGATATGATGGAAGTGGAATGGAGTAAATCTGATTCTGGGGAAGTGGTGCATTTCTACACACGTGGAGTGGATCGACCTTATCAGCAACATGAAGCCTACAGAGGAAGAACTGAGCTCATTAGAGACGGGATGACTCGAGGAAACGTGTCTCTCAGACTGAAGAACGTGAGGTGCTCAGACCAAGGAGAATACACATGTTTTGTGAGATCAACAACAGATTTAGGTGAAACAACAGTGCTTGTGAAAGTTGAAGGTTTGTTGTGTTTAACCTGTACATTTCCCTATTCTAAGCTCATATTCCCACCCCGTCCCAGTCAATATATTTTCCAGCCTCAGAAATGCACCATAATCTCTACCAGAGCCCGGTGTGAACTGCACAATGTAATGATTTGTCATTCTGGCTCAATGTGGGCAATTGGCTGCCGCGTAACACCCACAAAATACTCAGTCAATTCACTGTACAGTATATTCTGTGAAGGGCTTTGAGACATCTTGAAAATGTGATAAGGCTCTATATCAAGTGAAGGATTATTATTGTTCATTGGAAGGACTCTTGTTGTTTGGTTTAGAGGGTTGTGGGTTGAAGCCCCACATCAGCACCTGAGCTCATAGTTCAGGCTGATACCACACTCTGTCACTGAAGGACACTCAGTGTTAGAGGCTGACGTTTGGTGAGACGTGAAAATTGACAGTTTGCACCTCTCTGTTCAGGTGGACATTAATGATCCCATAAACTGATGGAGAAGGTCGTGTCCTGCAGATTAATTGGCCATTCACTTGATGGAGCAAATGACTATAACCTTAGCCTTCAAAAAGAATCACGACACGGGAATGATTAGGTGTAAAGTACTGAATGTTTTGATTTGATCAGTTGTTACAAAAGTTCTGTCTTTGTAATTGTTGATAACACAATGTATTATTGTTACAGACCGCAGACGGCTGCCCTTGATTTCCATGGCAGGTTACCAGGACTCGAGACTTAAACTCACCTGTAAATCAAAAGGCTGGTATCCCGAACCTCGTGTAGTTTGGTTTGATAGGAGTGGAGCAAAGGTGAAAGCCAAGACTGAAACATGCACTCAGGGGTCTGAAGACTGTTGGAAATGTGAAAGTAGCATTGATATAACCAGAGATTCTACAGACAGATTCACGTGTCTGACAGGAAACTTTTTGGAGGAAAAGAAGGTGAAGATCCAGGTATCAGGTCAGTGAAACATTTGGAAAAATATAAACACTTCAGTGCAACGTATTACAGTTCATATTGTGAAGTGGAACAATCCACAGCAGCTCCCAATGTTCAATCTGAGGCTTTCATTCTGATTTCCTTTCAGCCACTTTCATCATAGGATAGTTTGCTATTGTAATTGTAAATGATTAATTACACAACAATAACAACAAGATTACATGTCTATAGCGCCTTCCGCGTTGGGAGGACGTCCCAAGGCACTGGACAGTGACAGCATTTCATGTATTTCTGAAATACATGAATTTAGTGTGTGTGGCTTTTCGCTGTTAGTGTTTCCAGTCAGTTGTGGACTCCTGTAGCTCAGTGGTTAGAGCCTCACAAGCGAGAGACCTGGGTTCGATTGTCGGAGACGCTGTCCTTCAGATAAGATGTTGAACCGAGGACTTGTCTGTTCCTGTTCAGAAGGATTTTAAAGATCCTCTGATACCTTTCATGAAGGGAAGGAAGTTTCTCCAGGTATCCTGGCCAACAATCCTCCAGATAAATTGCTCATTCACTACATAACTGTTTGTGGACATTGTGTGCGTAATATTGTTCGCATACAAATAAACAGTCACTACATATCACTGTAACGCCTATGAAGGCTTTGAGACTTCATGAAAATGTGATAAGGTTCTATATCAAATGAAAGAATGATAGGATTATTATTACATATGACACAAAATTTCTTTATGTTACAGAGGTGTTTTTCCACCGAGGCCCAGACTGGCTGGTGGCTTTCCTTGTGGCGTTCAGCCTTGTGCTTGGAGCAGCTGGTGTGTTGGTGTTCTTCTGCAGAAAACGATTGAAAAAAGTAAAAGGTAATAAATGATTTTAAGTTTCCCCCAAAATATAATCTTTACTTTCATCCTTTATATAATCCATAACATAGTGAGGAGAGCACTGGCAACGTCTGAGCGCAGGTTACGAAAGCGAGAGTGAGTGTCTCTGGGGTGTTGGGTGTGAGGTAGGGGCGGAGGCGGGTGATGTGGTGGTGAATGAAGGTGGTTTTGATGAGGCACTGCATGTGAGTGAGAAAGGAAAGCCGGGGATCAAACCACATGCCACGGTTGTCACTGAGAAAATTAGAGAGAGAGGCTGGGGAGCTTGTGGAGCTCAGAGCCAGAATGGGATGGCTTCAGTCTTATCTAAACAAACAAATTGAGATGGATCTTGAAGGAGGCATGAGAGGGGGTGAGGTGGGATGGAGTTCCAGAGAGTGGGGGCAGAGAAGCTGAAGGCTCGCCCACCAATGTTGGGGTGGGCAAAGCGGGGAACATGAAGCAGGCCGGAGGATGCTGAGTAGAGGGAGCGGAGAGGTTGGTAGGAGGTTAGGAGGTCACAGAGGTAGGGAGGAAAAAAGCCGAGGAGGTGAGGATCAGGAACTTGGAACTATATCATCTGAGTCATGTGGAGTCGGGCGATCATGAGGGTGATAGTGTCACGGTGTCTGGAGCAGAAGAGGACACAGGCTACAGAATTCTGGACAATCTGCAGCCTGTGGAAGGAGGAGTAGCGGAGGCCGACAAGCAGGGAGTTTGTGTAGTTGAGCCTGGATGTGATGAACGCGTGGATGAGGGTCTCGAGAGAAGTGGCAGAGCCGGGCAATGTTGCGGAGGTGGGGAAAGGCGAAGCGGGTCATGGCAATGATATGGGGGATGAAGGTCTGTTAAGAGTTGAACAGGACACTGAGGTTCCGCATTGGCTCCATGATGTGTAGAGTGCAGCCATGAAGGGCAATGCTGTCAGCGACCGAGTTATGGAGACACTGACAAGAGCAATGCAGGACGGCCTTGGTCAACTGGAGAAAGTTAGCTCTCATCCAGGACTTGATGTCTGACAGACATTCTGTGAGGACAGCAGTGATCCTGGAGTCGAGGTGGAGGTGGAGTTGGGTGTCACCACATATATGTGGGAGTTGACTCCATGTCTATGGATGATGTCACCAAGAGGGATCTATACTGAGTTGGAGGAAATTTTGGCTCATCCAGGCCTTGATATCTCACAATCAACTGGACAGATCATCAGGGACCTGGGGTCGAGAGTAGATTTGGGGTCATCCACATCCATGTGGGAATTAAGTCCATGTCTGTGGATGATGTTGAGGGACAGGGTGACTGTGTTGGCCAGTAGTGGGCAGAGGAAGGGCAATTGGGTGGTCAGCGGATGGGTGGGGAGGGAGTTGAGGGAGCAGGTGGTGAGCTTTATGTTATGAGAAGGAAGATGTGGTCAGGTGTATTTTGTTGATTTTTGTTGTTGAACGTGAAAGGTGCAATATAAATGTTATTTTGTTGTTATTATTCTCTATTGTCTCTCACACATATAGAGAAGTTGTGGGATAAAAGGCTGGAAATGTTAATCAGAATGTGTCTTGTCGTTTCCAAACTGTAGAAGGATTTGCTCACACAGAGGGATGTGAAGATGTAGAATTCTTTGCCCCAGAAATCTGTAGAGAAGGAATCAATGTGAATGTTTAAATGAGAGACAGAGACTCGGATAGTAGAAATATTTGCGTAAAGAGCAGGAAATTGGTTTTAAAAGATTAAAATTGGTGGAACAGACTCATGGGCTGAATTGTCTCCTCCTGTTCCTCTTTTCCTTTACTAAAAGCTGATGTCAATTAGAAATAACCTAAAGCAGAGCCTTTAGTGCACTGTTATTTTCACTAATATTTAATAAAATATTGTATTAATATTTCTGCTGGATTGTGTCCATTATGTTTAAGGAAAATGTCCTACAGTTACTGATGGGGATGACACTGACAATTGTGTTTTTATTTTCCAGTTTATGAAAATCTAAAAAAGGAATTTAAAAATCTGGGTAAGTAACAGCATTACAAACATCCCCGAGCCTCAGCCTCCCCGAGAGTCAGGTCCTCGGAGACCCACCACAAGCCCTTCCTGTGCTCACTGGTGACCTCAGCATTTACATATACACACACACCCAGACATATACACACACACCCAGACATATACACACACACACCCAGACATATACACACACACCCAGACACAAGCACACATACACACACACATATGCACACAACACACATGCACACACACACATGCACACAACACACATGCACACACACACACGCACACAGAATCACAGAACAACCTGAACTAAACCCACCTCCTGTGGAATAAAGAAACGTGACATTTCTGTGCAGATGAGGAGAATCTCACTGTGTTTGACTGTAGAGAGAAAGTGAAACTTACACTTTAACACAAATTAAATCATTCTGATACAATGAGTGAAATAAATAACATAATGTAAACGAGTCTCTGAATGTGCATTCCACTCGGTTAGATTCTGTTCCTAAATATTTAACATTTACATCTGCGATCTGAAACAATAATTTACATTTATACAACTGCCTCCATGCGCCGGGTCAGAGTGAAAGGGGAGGTGACCGTACACACGGTTAAAGAGGAAGGTCTTCAGGTGCGATGAAGATGGTCAAAGTGGGGAGAGTGAGATGGAGGGATTGAGAAAGGGAGTTCTTTTGGTTTGGTGGTTAGTGGTTGAAGACATGGCCACCAATGGTGGGGCGGAGGCGAGTCAGGGATGAGCAGAAAGCCAGAGCCGCCCAAATAAAGGGGTGGGTAGAGGAGTGGGGTGTGAGCAGGTCGGAGAGGTAGGGAGGTGCTGGACATGAGGTGATTTGTCAGTGAGTGTGAGGATCTTGAAATGGATCTGTTCAGTGATAGGGAGCCGTGGAGCCCGGCAAGGGCTGGAGTGATGGGGTATGGAGTTTGTTGTGGGTAATGTACCAAATGTAAGGATTATTAATATTATCATAATTCACTTGTTGAGACTGTGAATGTTTAATCAGTTTCTACAATGCAGAATTTTTTTATTGTAAATTATAACACAAATTATAACACAAAAATAATAATAAATTGGTCATTTTCAATCTACGACTGTCTGTGGGACATTGCTGTGCGCAATTGGCTGCCGCGTTCGCCCACAAATATACAGTCAATTCACTTTACAGTGTGTTCTGTGAAGCGCTTTGGGATGTCCTCCCGACGTGAAAAGCGCTATATCAAATGCGAGGATTATTATTATTATTATTAAATTTTGAAATAAAATACATTTAAAAGAAAATCTTACATTTTCAGTTTGTTTATTAATTTAATTTCCTTCAGTTGATGTGAGAACATATCACCTCATATCACAGTGAGTTTGGAAATTTTAAGTTTAAAGGAAAACAAAGAAATGGAATAAAATAAACCAGATAAGCTTTTTAACTTTTTTCAAAAATGTAAAAATAAATTTTCTAAAACCTTTTCTTTTGTTTTAAAGATAATGAACTGAAATCTGCCAAACAAGGTACAGTACATTGTGTTATTGACACTAAGTGTTTCTATGATGGAATTCCATCAGTGATGATGTCCCATAAGTGGATCAATCAATGACGACTGACTTCAACATTCAAACTGTCTTCACTCAATGACTTTCAATCTCATGTGAGAAACTTTACATTGTTTATTAATATTTGTTTCTTTCTTTAGACCAAAAATACATGAAAAAAGCACTCGGTAGGTTTTACCATTTAAAATCCACTTGTTTTAGCCGATGATTCTGGGAAGGGTCAGCAGTGAGAAGTTTTGAGTAATGATAAGCTGTGAGGTTTCAGCAGGAAAATCTGGAGCAATTCCCCCCAATCCATCCTCTGTGGACCACAAGCCTTGGCTCTGGCCAACCCATGTCTAAACATTAGTAAACCCGGGAGCATGGCGCTGGGGAGAGGGTTCATTCTATATCAGACACGGAAACTCTACATACAGTATGTGGAACTCCCAGTAGTTTGGTTTGGAGAGTGTTAACCCCGGTGATGGGTTTCAATGTGACACGGACTGAAACTATTTTGAAGCCCAAATGTTATTTTCTTATTTCTGAAAACAAACTTCCAGATGCCTCAGTGGTGAAGGGTTGTTTATCAGCTGAATCACGAGACTGGGAATAGGTTCAGTGTGTAACAGTGGGGGGTGATCTGTGGAATAAACAATCAATAAATATTGTTTCCTTTCAGAACTGAAACAACAATTCGCTAAATCAGGTAATTGACGTTTTTATCCTCATTTACTGTTATTGATGTAGAATTGAGCTGCTTTTCAAAAAAAAATTATCACCACTTTTGATAACGTAATAGATGGAATGTAAGAAATACAATGATATTAAGATTATAAATGGACTTTGACATGAACGTTCAATGCACAGTTCAATCATCTCCATCATCATGGTGTCCTGTAGCTCAGTGGGTAGAGCACTCGCCTCGCAAGCGAGAAGATCTGGGTTCGATTCCCGGCAGAACGAAATGTTGGGCAAGTCCTTAGTCCACACACTTCTGTATATCGAGCAGTAAGTAGGAATCTGGTTGTTAGTCTTTTGGCGGTTCACTTTTCTGGTGGTAATAATTCCTTTCAAATAGTAATAAATTGGTCACTCAATCCATGGCTGTTTGTGGGACGCTACTGTGCACAATTGGGTGCCGAGTTTCACCCACAAAACATACAGTCAATTTACTTTACAGTGTGTTCTGTGAAGCGCTTTGGGACGTCCTCCCGACGTGAAAAGCGCTATATCAAATGTAAGGATTATTATAAGGCGCTGTATCGAATGCAAGGAATATTATTATCTCACATCTACAAATATGATCAGTTAGTCAGACTCTGGAAGTATCTAATCCCAGATACTGAGTTGCACACAGAGACTGTCAGGAATAACATAATTTTGGAAGTTTACAAAAGATGAAATTCATAAAAAAAAGGTTATTAAATGAAAACTTCTGTTTCTTTCCAGAGTGGGAGGTCGTTGGCAGTTGTGAATGTAAGTTACCCCACATTACAGTCTGGTTATAGACCCCACATTACAGGCTGGTTATAGACCCCACATTACAGGCTGGTTATACACCCCACATTACAGGCTGGTTATACACCCCACATTACAGGCTGGTTATAGACCCCACATTACAGGCTGGTTATAGACCCCACATTACAGGCTGGTTATAGACCCCACATTACAGGCTGGTTATAGACCCCACATTACAGGCTGTTTATAGACCCCACATTACAGGCTGGTTATACACCCCACATAACAGGCTGGTTAGACACCCCACATTACAGGCTGGTTATAGACCCCACATTACAGGCTGGTTATACACCCCACATTACAGGCTGGTTATACACCCCACATTACAGGCTGGTTATAGACCCAACATTACAGGCTGGTTTTAGACCCCACATTACAGGCTGGTTATAGACCCCACATTACAGGCTGGTTATAGACCCCACGTTACAGGCTGATTATAGACCCCACGTTACAGACTGGTCACAGACACCTTTCCCCTGATAGAGGCCACACAACCCGGCTACACCTTCCATCATATCCCACGACCTAACCGCCGTGGTGGCTGAGTGGCTCTCGTCTCCCGGTCCCCGCTCAGCCTATCCCCTTACTCCTCTGGAACCTTCCCCTCCTTTGAGCACCTTACCCTTTATCACCCCTCCAGCTTTTGCCTCAAAATTCTCCTTTTCTATCGCACCCCCACAAGCCCTGCCCCACCTTCCTCCCTGACATCTCCACCCTCCTATCTTCCCTCTCCCCCAAATGCCTCCTCATTTCAGGTGACTTCAAACTTCCCTTCATCCCCTCCTGCTCTACCTCTGCTAACTTCTCCTCTTTTCTCCTCCCTCAACTCATCCTCCACATCCACCCTGTCACCCATGTCCGGGGTCACACCCTCAACCTGGTGATCACTCAGGGCCTCACCATCACGGACATCATCATCATTGACAAAGCAATCTTGGATCATCATTTCGTCTCCCTTAACTCCTCAATCCCTCTACCCACAGCCACCCAATCCACCTCGATTTCCTATCGCCTCTGGAAAAAATCTTCCCCCCACCCTCCTACTTGGCTGTCTTGGAGTCACCTGTACTTCTTCCCCTCTGGGCTTCCTCCCGCATTGACCTATCCTCTTTGGTCGCTCTTCTCCACAGCTCCCTTTCCTCCACTCTCGATTGCTTTGCTCCCCACTCTTCCGGAACCGTCTCCTACTCATGTAACTCACCATGCACACCAGCCGCATCTGCTTCCTTAAAGCACAGATGGTGCCACTCCAAACAATTACCCTAAATCAAACTTAACGGCCCATCGGCAGATCTGGCTGGACCTTATCAAATCCTATCACTCTGCCCTCGCCTCCGCATCATCGTCATTCTACTCCAAGGCTACAAACAACCCTAGTCTCCTCTTCTCCATCACCAACCGGCACCTCCACCAACCCTCTTATGCCTTGTCCATCCTCAACACCAATGCCAACTGCTAGGCCATGCTGGATGTACTCGAGTCCAAAGTAGAGGGGGTCCTCTGCCCTTCTGTTTACTAGCCCCACCCCATTTCCCACCATCCCCTACCATCCCTCCCTCCACACCTTCAAACCTGTCTCGCACTCCTCACTCACCACCACTGTAACCTGCATCAAACCAACCAACCACCTGCTCCCCAAGCCCATCCCTACCCGTCTGCTTACCTCCCAGCTCCATCTTCTTGCCCCTCTACTCACAGACATCATAAACCTCTCCCTGTCCACTTGTACTGTTCCCACCTCATCAAAAACCGCCGTCGTCACACCAATCCTCCCTGGACTCATCTCTACTCTTAAACTTATGCCCCATCTCCAACCTCTCCAAGGTCCTGGAATGAGTTGTTGCTTCCCAACTTCGCTCCTTTCTCTCCTGCCACTCCTTTCACGAACCCCTCCAGTTGGTTTCTCTGCCCCCCACAGCACAGAAACAACGCTGGTCAAAGTGACAAATGACATTCTGTCCATCTGCGACCATGGCTCCCTCTGCCTCCTCATCCTCTTTGACCTCTCTGCTGCGTTCAAAACCATTGGCCACTCTATCCTCATTCACCGCCTCTCCTCTCTCCTCAACCTTGATGGTTCTGTCGTTGGCTGGTTCAGATCGTACCTCTCACACTGCCTGCTCTTCAAATCCACAAATGGTTTCTCCTCTAGCCCCCGCACTGTCTAGTGAGGTGTTCCTCAGGGCTCTTTCCTTGGTCCCCTCCTCTTCAATATCTATATGCTCCCTCTTCGTGACATCATCCGCAGACATGGGGTCAACTTCCATATGTGTGTGGATGACACTCAACTGTACATCTCTGCCTCCACCCTTGATTCCGGGACCACTGCTCAGCGGGCTCCAGCCTATTTCACGTTCCTCCGCCTCGCCAGCCACACCACAGGCTGGTGGGCCTTCTGCCACTCTGACCCTACCCTCTCGAACTCAATCCCACAGGCCCTCCCCCTCGTCCCTCCATTGCCTCCTTCAAGACCCATCTCAAGACTCTCCTCTTTGAACGTGCTTTCAATCACCCGGCTTACACCCAGCACTCCACCCTCCCCAATCCCTACCCCCAGCTTAGGCCCCAAACTCTGACTGTCCAGCAACTTGGGACATCCTCCCGACATGAAAGGCACCATACACATTAATTTTGTTATTGTTGTAGTAGTAGACTCCACATTACAGGCTAGTTTGTTGTTGTGGTTAGAGACGTTCCATTGTAGGCTGATTTATAGAGCCCACATTACAGGCTGGTTATAGACCCCACATTACAGGCTGGTTATAGAGACCCCACATTACAGGCTGGTTATACACCCCACATTATAGGCTGGTTATAGAGCCCACATTACAGGCTGGTTATAGAGACCCCACATTACAGGCTGATTATATACCCCACATTACATACTGGTTATAGACCCCACATTAAAGGCTGGTTATAGAGCCCACATTACAGGCTGATTACGGACCCCACATTACAGGCTGGTTATAGAGCCCACATTACAGGCTGGTTATAGACCCCACATTACAGGCTGGTTATAGACCCCACATTACAGGCTGGTTATAGACCCCACATTACAGGCTGGTTATAGACCCCAGATTAAAGGCTGGTTATAGAGACCCTGTATTGTCAATGTGCTAAGGAAGTTGCTATAATTGACTACTGTGTAGAGATTATCAGTAAAATACAGGTTCATCAAGTGATTAACAAAATATCACTCCTAACCTAATTTTCAGTCTAGTTTCAGGCTGTGTAAAGTGCACACATTTTTTAGAATTGTACACCAATAAATGACATATATGCTGCAGGACTCGGTGAGCAGAGATCGTTGTGTGAAGTGGATTCACCATTGCTAGTTGTGTTAGTGACACCCTGATAATGAGCTACTGGGTCCAGCTGATAAACTTGTGTTTTCTTTCAGGCTGTAAAAAGCTTCTCTTTGGTTTTGGTAAGAGACTTGATTTAATAATAATAATAATCATTGTATTTGATGTAGCGCCTCATCACGTTGTTGAGACGTCTCAATGCGATTCATAGAAAATACTGCAAAGTGAATTGATGGTATGTTTTGTGGACGAAACCAGCAGCCAAATGCATAGTCATGGATTGAGTGACCACATTTTTTTTGAGGAATTATTTCCCCCGGAAAAAAGTGATCCACTAATCAACTAACTACCAAGTTCCTGCTGACTGCTCGGTAAACAGAGGCGTGTGGAGTGAAGAAACTTGCCTTAGGTTTGCACTGCCCAGGAATCAAACCCTATTCCTCTTATTTCCGAGGCGAGTGCTTTAACCACTACTCCAGATATTAATACGATAAAGAAAATGATTATTCAGTGAAGCATAAACATAACTTTACAAAACAATTTTAATTGAACAACTAAATTCCAACTAAGTTTTCCTTCATTTCTAGAAAATAACAGACACCGCATTTATGCAGGTAAGATGTTAATATTGTATAAATGGTACAATTCAGAACTGCTCAGATCCCACCCCAGATTTCGCACAAAGATGTACAGACAGAAGGTCCCAGCCTGGTCTGTGCTGAGGTATCTGATCTCAGTCGGGGAGGGAGGGGCTCTACACATGGCCTCAGGGCCCGGATATGGATGGACAATAAGCCAAAGTCACTGTTCCTCATCACATTCAGGGATTCCCCCCCCACTCCCATCCCAGCCTTTCTGTAAATACCGGGTGAGGAGAGGATCAGGCTGTGATGCCCTCAATGGTTAAATAGTCAACCAACACTGGCTGTCCAGGCTCCCACATGAACAAGTCACTAAAGACAGCTACAGACCAGACACAGTGAGTATCAGCACTGAGCCCGACTCCTGCTCATCGCCCTCTGCACATTCACTAAAGCTGTGATGCCATGTTGAGGTTGTAGAGATGTCAGTCCAATCCTGTGCCCCAGGCGCTGGGCACAACAGCTGTTAGTGTGTGTCTGGAGAATGGTATGTGACTGTACCTGGGGAAGGTACTGATAGACCAAATACTACACACACTGTTACTGTATTTAACACATTACAGGGTGTCGTCCACACTGTCACCTGTCGTAAAATACTCACTTCATATTGTCCACATGTTCGAGATCCAAGTCCAATATTGTGACCAGGTTCTGTTCACTGAGGGCTTCACCCACAGGTTGGAGAATGTGTTTGTATATAACTGGTTATTCACTAATTACTACATTCCCTGTTACTACAATCACAATCCCCACTGTCAACATGTCAAAAATCACCACATATAGCAATGAAGACAAACTCACAACAGAGAGTTACCATGAGAGGCTCACTCACGTGATCACACACACACTCACCTCCAGCCCCCCACACCCATACGCTCATATCCCCACCTCACACACACCTTCACGTTCCCCCCCCCACACACACACCTTCACATCACCGCCACACACCCTCACATCTCTCCCACACACAGCCTCACATCCCCCCACCACATATCATCACATCCACCCCCACATACACCATCCCCCCATACACACACAATCACGTCCCCCCCAAACACCCTCGCATCCCACCCACACACCCTCACATCTCTCCTACACACAGCATCACATGCCTCCCACCACACATCATCACATCCCCCCCATACACACACAATCACGTCCCCCCAATACATACACAATCACGTCCCCCCCAAACACCCTCGCATCCCACCCACACACCCTCACATCCCACCCACACACCCTCACAGCTCCCCATCGCACACACCCACACATCCCCCCCAAACACCCTCACACCCCACCCCTAGACACACACTCCCATCCAACCAAAAAGACTTCTTCACATACCTCACCACACACACCCTCACATCCCCCCCACCCACACACACACCCTGACATCCCCCACCACAAACACACTCTAATATCCAGCCCCACACACTCACATCTCCAACCCCCATCCTCACATCCCCACACACACCTTCACACCCTCCACACACACCCTCATTACAACCCCACGCACCTCACATCCAACAACAACAACTTGGATTTATATAGCGCCCTCCACGGACGGCATCGCAGAGCGCTTCACAGAAATGGATCCTGGGGCTGAGCGAGGGGGAGGGGGAGGAAGGTGACCAAAGGCGCGGTCAAAAGGAAAGGACTTCAGCCGAGACCTGAAAATAGGAAGAGAGGGGACGAGGCGAAGGGAGTGAGGAAGGCAGTTCCAGAGCCTCATTGTGGCCAAAGACATGTGCACCGATGGTGGAGCGGAGGATTCGGGGGACAAGAAGGAGCCCAGACCCAGTGGAGCGAAGGCAATAGGCACTGTTGTGAGGAGAGAGGAGGTAAGAGAGGTCGGGGGTGCAGAGGAGTGGAGGGATTTGAAAACAAGAGTGAGGATCTTGAAATTATTCCTCTCTGGGACAGGCAGACAGTGCAGTCTGGCAAGGACTGGGGTAATCGGGAGCGGAGGTTGGTGCGGGTATGAATGTGAGCAGCAGAATTTTGGATGACTTGGATTTTGTGAATGGTAGTGGAGGGGAGACTGGCGAGGAGGACATTTGAATAGTCCAGCCGAGAGGTGACAAAGGCATGGACCAGGGTTTCGGTGGCTTTTGGGCTGAGATATTGCCGGAAACGGGTGATGCGTCAGAGGAGGAAGAAGTGGTGCTGGTGAGGGACCGGATGTGGGGGAGGAAGGATAACCTGATGCCGAGGTTGTGAACAGGTTTGGAGAGTTTTAGGGAGAGGTCGGGTAGGTGGCGGAGGTGTGAACCGTGCGATTTTAGATGTTGAGTATGGCTTCCTTCTTGTCAACGTTCAGCTGAAGGAAATTTGCGCTCAGCCAGCTCCTGAGGTCTGACAGGAAGGCTGACAGAACATCAGGGGACTGGGGGGGGGCTCGCAAAGTGAGGCGGAAAAATTGAGTTGGGTGTCTTCTGCATACATGTGGAAGTGTACCCCATGTCTGCGGATGACATCCCCAAGAGGGAGCATATAGATTAGGACGAGGAAGGGGCCAAGGATGGATCCTTGGGGTACCCTGCAGGTAACTGAGTGAGAGCAGGAGGAAAAGCCGTTTGTTGAGATGTACTGCTGGTGGTTTGTGAGGTAGGACTCAAACCAGGCGAGTGCGGTCCCACTGAGGTGGGTGACGGAAGAAAGGCAGTGGAAGAGGATTGCATGATCGACTGTGTCGAAAGCGGTGGAGAGATCCAGGAGGACAAGGAGGCAGAGGGAACCCTGGTCACAGATAGAGAGGATGTCGTTTGAGACTTTCACAAGCGCAGTCTCTGTACTATGGGTAGAGCGGAAACCGGACTGGATGGGTTCGAAGAGGGAGGAGAGGTGTGCACGGAGTTGATTGGCAACAACGCGTTCTAGGACTTTGGCAAGGAAGGGCACGTTTGAAATAGAGTGGTAGTGGCTGGGGTTTGAGGGATCTGGGGAAGGTTTTTTGAGGAGGGGTTGATGACAGCAGCTTTGAGGGGGGCAGGGACTGATCCAGAGGAGAGGGACTGGTTGATGACATCAGCCAGTAGTGGGTAGAGGAGGGGGAGCTGGGTGACCAGCAAGTTGGTGTGGAGGGGGTCAAGGCAGCAGATGGTGTGTTTCATCGAAGTGATGGTGGGTGAGAGAGACAAAGGTGAGATGGGGAGGAAGAAATGTAGGATGGGGTTCGTGATAGGAGCTGATGATGGGGAGTGTCAGGGGGATGGAGAGAGGGTGGTGATGGGTGATGATGCAGGAGGATGAGACTGTCTGGTAGATATTATTTATTTTAGTTGAAAAGAAGTCCATGACCTCCTCGAACTTAGCATTTGATGTGAAGATTGAGGAGGCCTGAGGGGGGCACGGAGGAGGTAGTCGGTGGTGGAAAAAAGGATTTTAGGGTTGTGTTTAGCCTCCAAGATGATGTTGGAGTAGAAGGCCATTTTTGCACGTGTCAAAGAGTGGTGGTCGCTGTGGAGATGCTCGAACCACAGTTGGTGGTGAACTCTCAGGCCAGGTTTCTGCCATCTGTGCTCGAGCAGCTGGGTTTGGTTTTTAGGGTGCGGAGATGATTGTTATACAAGGGGGAACGGGTGGGTTTGAGGATGGTCCTGGATTTCAGGGGATGAGATAGTTGAAGGTGAAGGACAGGCGATCATGGAGTAGCTGGACGGTTGCTTCAGTATCTCTGTGGGTGAAAGGCCAAAGGGATAGGACATTGTGAGGGTCTCAGGGGGTAGCCTTTTCCACGGGTGGCAGAGTATTGTTGAGGGGAGTTTAGGTGGAGATTGAAATTGCCCATTATGAGTAGCCGTTCGGAGCAGAGGGACAGGGAAGAGAGGAGAGTAGAGATGTCAGAGAGGAAGGGGCCTGGGGGCTTGGGGGGGGTGGTAGACCAGAAGGATTTTCAGTGGGAGAGAGGCATGGAAGAGGGTGAGGTGCTCAAAAGAGGGGAAGCAGCCAGAGGAATAGGGGGAAAGACCAAGGGAAACTTTGGAGATGAGGGCCACCCCGCCACCAAGTTGGTTTAGACGGGTGTGGTGGAAGGTGTAGACTGGAGGGGAAGCTTCGACTAGAGGAACGGGGTCATTGGGGGAGAGCCAGGTTACTGTGAGCCCAAGAATGCTGAGGTGCTCATCCAGGATGAGGTCATGGACAGTGAGGTTTCTTTGTGAGTGAACGGACATTTTGAAGGGAAATACGGGTGGGTTTGCTGGTGGGAGGAGAGGGAGGAGGGAGTGATACGGAGAGGATTTTAGGGTGTACAGGAGAGATGGCTGTGGAGTGTGGGGGGAGTGGGGTGTTGGGGAGGGTACGTATGACGGAGGGGGACGTTGTGTTTGCCTTAAGGAGGCGGTTTGTGTGGAGGGAGTGAATGATGGGACACTTGGGGTCGCTGCTCTGGGACAGTCAGTGCCTGGAGCCACGATGGGCCCAGCGGAGGCTGCCCAGGCTGGAGCAGAGGGAGGTGGTGATGGGGTCCAGGAGAGAGAGAAGGTGGGGGGTGTGGGGGTGAGAGAAGGACAGAGTGGGAGTAGGAGATAGAGGGTGTTGGGAGGAGAGACATTTACAGTGGAGGGAGAGGCTCGGGTCGGGGCGGCAGCCAAAACGCGCACAGAGACCGGGAGCGAGCGATCAGTGGGACGGCATCAGCCCACAGGCTGTGTGGTCACGGCTAAGATGTCAGTGACAGGGGCGGCCACGACATTTTCTCCTGAACCACTTTCACTGTGGATTAGTTTCTTTTAGCTTTTCTTAGTGTTAGTGTTGGTGTCAGTGCTGTTAGTGTTAGTGTTGGTGTTGGTGTTAGTGCTGTTAGTGTTAGTGTTGGTGTCAGTGCTGTTAGTGTTAGTGTTGGTGTCAGTGCTGTTAGTGTTGGTGTCAGTGCTGTTAGTGTCAGTGTTGGTGTCAGTGCTGTTAGTGTTAGTGTTGGTGTCAGTGCTGTTAGTGTTGGTGTCAGTGCTGTTAGTGTTGGTGTTGGTGTC